ATATAAGTATAGGGTTGTATTTTAAACTTTTCAAAATCTAGGGTTTGAAATTTAGTTGTCTAAATTAAAGCTTTTAATCACAAATATAAATTTCAAAACTATAGGGTAGGTTTTAAACATTTAAAAACATGGAGGATCAAATAACAAATAATTTCAATTAACAATTAATATCTTAATTATCTTTATTTGATTTATCTTTGATTTCTTTGAGGATAATTACCAAAAATAATCAAAATAATTAAAATAATTATCATATAGGAAAACTAAATATTTAATTAGTTGATAATTACCTTTAACTAGATCAAGATAACACTTATATTTATCAAGAAATCGGATTCATATTGATCTAATTAGTTTATGGAAAGTTTGGATAAGATAAACACAAAGAAATCCCGAATCTGGCCCTTCCTGACGCTTGGACTCGCCGAGTGCACAAGGGGACTCGACGAGTCAGGCCTACTCGACGAGTCCACCATGGAACTCGACGAGTCAGTGACTCAAAACCAAAAAATCGAATTTTGCAGGTTTGTTTCAGTTATTCAAGCAACAATTTGTAGAAAACCAATCTAGGCTCTGATACCACTGTTGGGTTTTAGCCATAAGAACTTTCCTATGTGCGCATGCAAAACCCTATTGCTTGGATCTAGGCTTTCTATCAAACATGCTTTTGAATCCAAGACTTCTAATGGCTAATTAGGTTAAACAACAACATTAATACAGATCTAGAATCATACCTTTGAGTTCCTTGTTGATCTTCTTGTCTTGGAGCTTCTAGAGTCACAATTGTCACTCCTCTAATGGCTTACAAACACCAATAGCAAGCAAGATGATTTAGGAGAGAGGAGAGGGGATGGAATTCGACCAGAGGTTCCTTGCTTTAGGTTCTGAAAGGTTGTCCACGAATTCCACACCCCAAGGGCCTATTTATACCTTTAGACTCCTTAAGGGTTTCACCCTAAACCCTAATTGGATAATCTTCACTTAAGGCTATCCAAATCCATTCATAGATATCCTTATGGACTATTTTGAGCTATCCTAAAGCTCTTAGAAACCGTCCAAAGTCCATCCTAATGGATTTATAGTCCAAAGTCTAACTATCAAACAATTGACAGTTTATACCCTCTTATTTAATTAATCTCTTTAAGTCACCAAATTAATACCAATTAATTTATGACTTATATTAATCAAATAGCTAAATATTATTCCTTATAACATTTACTCTCTCTTAACAAATCATCCTTCAAGTTGCTATGGTGAAGGCAACCCAAAAGGACCATGCACCACCGAATATAGTTATAGCCTTAGACACTATTCCAACAGATTGGACCCATAATATGTTGGCATTCCAACCGGATGGTTGAGGGCCTGGGGTATTCCAACTCGATGGTTGACTAGACCCATAGTATGCGCTTCATGATTATATGTATATTATTGTGTGTATGGGTATTTTGGGGGAACTCACTAAGCTTTAGGCTTACAGTTTCAGTTTTGGTTTCAGGTACCTCAGATGATCGCGGGAAGGCAAAGGCGTGATCGTACAGCTCCTCACGTTTTATAACTTTGTTTCTGGGATACTCTGATATGGAACTATTTTGAAAACAGATTTGTAATAACTATTGGCTTCTAAATGTTTTAAATTTTTTTTAAAATTATCTTGAATTTTTATGGTTGTTACATGTGTGTTCTTGATCTTGTGTAAATCATTTTTGGTAGCTTGGAGCCCTGGAAAGAAGAAGAGGAAGTTGGTGAAGGAGAGTTAGTGAAGCTTAAGCTTGAAGATCCGAAACATCATCACCATTTAGCACTCATTTTAGGTATAAAGTTCAGAACTTTCCTTATGAATTCTTAGATCTCTTGTGTTTGAGTTGTCAGACCTTTTGTGTCCCATGGATGAATATTTATTGGTCAAAGTCATTTCTTAAGCTTAGGGTTGCCACCCTTGTTGTTATTTGAGTCCTTAAGTTAGAAAGTTTCCATCTTAGAGGTCTTGAAGCATCCTTGCATGAGTATTGGTCATTTTTGGGAAGTAGGTTGTCCTATTCCAAGTTTGCGTTTGTTTAGGGGCATACAAGCCACCAAGTGGTCGACTTTATGGGTTAAGACCCTTCATGGGACTCATATATGTGTTTAGAGCCTCAGATTTTAAGGGATTAAATTCTTTTTGGGATTATGGTTAATAGGAGAGTACACCCCACGTACTTACTGATTTGGGCTTTGTGTTGTTTGGGCCTCGGTTTGGGTCACTTCCATGGATTAGTGACTTGGGCCGTGGTGGACCATCTGGAACTGGACCAATAGCCAAGAGAAACATTATTAGGGCCTTGGGCTAAGGCCCGTGTGAAAGGATTAGGCCTAATTGGAAATTGGACCATATGTTGAGCTTTATGGGATTGTTTATCTTTTGGGTCATGGGTTGTGATTTAAGGACCAATTTATGTTAGGGGTAAAATAGTCTTTTACCCCAAGTAGGGATTTTTGATTAATGAGGTAGATCCATTTTTTGATTAGCTTTTATTTGGAAATTGTTAGCTCGGAGAGTCGTTGGACCAGCAGGCAATGATCATTCGTTTCAATCAACTTTTCGAGGTGAGTTTTCCTCACCGGGTTTAGCGGGTCTAAGGCACCAAGGCCGACCCTTGTTGATTATGTTGATATACTCGTTGTCAATGTGATACTTGTATGTGCTTGTATATGTGTGCCTATTGAGCGGGGCCCGTATTACGAGTGTGGGTGGGTCCCGTATCTCTTTGGGCGGGGCCCATTATGTGATATGATGGTATGTGGTATCTTGGGGAAACTCACTAAGCTTTGTGCTTATGGTTTTCAGTTTATGTTTCAGGTACTTCCGGTTCCAAGGGGAAGAGCTCGGGCTGACCGCATCGCACACACTACATAGATTTCGCGTTTCATATTTACTCAGATTTCGATACATTGGATACATTGTTTTGATGAGATGTATGAATGATGTTTGAAAACACTATTTTTATCTATTATAAAATGAAATTTTTGGGACCATATTTTTGGATGTTTCGCACGCACCACCCGCTTTCTTTTATTAGAAAATCCTTTTATATATATTATTTCTTTTTATAAAAAATCTACCAAACCCTCAATTTGAGTTCAGACACACCCAAGGGTATGCTCGAATCCCTCAAACCAAGGCTCTGATACCAACTTGTAACGTCCAAAAAATTATAAGGTTAAAAAAGTTCATTTTTATCCAAGCAAAAACACCAATTATCCTTTCCATCCATTCAAAACTATAACATAATAAAAACTGTTATCATAGTAAAATCCCAAAATCATAAAGTTGCGGAAACATGGGTGGGTGTGTTGCGATGAAGCCGAGCCCTTCCCTTTCGAACCGAAAGTACCTAAAATCAAAACCATAAAACTGTAAGCACAAAACTTAGCGAGTTCCCCAAAATACCACATACCATACATAAGATAATGAATGCTCTGGGCCGAATCATAATCTTACAGTTACTCTCTTCCATGGGCTAAATCATGGTCTTTCCTTGCATTGTCGATGGCCAAATCCCGGTCTTACATACAAGTGTCAGGGGCCAGATCTTGGTCTTTCATACAATTGCCAGGGGCCAAATCCTGATCTTTTATACAATTACCAGGGCCAAATCCTGGTCTTTAATGCAAATACCACAAAGACAATTAGGTACAGTGAGGAGACTCAACTTAGTTCGAACAAGTAACTGAATAGGTCTCTACTCCGAATATAAAAAAAACCATCATTAATTCATCAAATAGTGACCAAACTCAAATATAAATCAAAATACCCTTAGGTTAAACTTGGTCAAATCTTGGTCAAAGTCAAAAGTTAAACCTGGTCAATAGTACGCACAACGTACTCAACTTGTAAGCTTGGCGTACACGAGTTTGACCTGAAACGCAATGGGGGAAGCCACTAGGTTCAGTTTTGGCATAAAACCACACCATGCTCACCACTATCGGGGAAGTCACTACGGTTAGTGCACAACCTATTTTAATAATAAAGAAATAGGGATCGAGCCCGTTGTTCGATTTTATGATATTCTTTTGTTATGTTTAACAAAGCTTAATTATTTTTTCAGTTATAAAGCTTAATGTGTGTTGTTTTAAACACTACTTCATGTTTTGAAGGTACATGCCTCCTTTGCCATGCATGTAGACAAAGGAGTGTAAGGCTTCACAATCTAATGTTTTTTTTTTTTTTTTTTTTTTTTTTGGAATGAAGTCGATAACGAATTGACAAAATGTAGAAGACGGTTTCAAATGGTTAGATCGAACTTTTTTAAGGAGAATCTATAGCGCTTCTTATGTTGGTGACCGAGTGTTATCATATTTTAGTGTAATTATAATTACTATCAAGATATGTTGAGTTCAGTTTACTATTCGAGACTGGAGTAATGAGGTGCATACTTAGAGTGATAAATATAAACTCAATAATACAGGGGGTCCGAGGGGAGCACCCGTAAGTACGAGGTTCCAAGGGGCAACGCCCTTGGCAAGGTGTAGGAGCAGAGCCCCTGGCGGTGGTTTCGAGTCTTGGGGCAACGCCCCAAAAGTTAAGCGGCGGACATGCATTTTCCTATCAAAATTAGTTTATGACATCATGATGATATAACAGTTGGTTATGCCTTATCACCACCATTGTAACCACCCTTTTGGCGCCATTTTGTTAACACTTTTCATACCTGAAAATGATTATGTCAATCTATGTCTCTTAAGAGCACAAAGTAGTAAGGTATTTTTTGTGTTTTGTATTTGGAAGTGGTTTGACTTCTAAATTGTCTATTTTAAATTATTCCAAATCCGATTTCATGATACCCTATGCAATAAGGTGGAAATCATAGAATTTAGAAAGTGATTGCAATAACAATTCTTGAATTATTCATGCTTATATTGTTATTCTTATACCCAAATTCTAACAACTTCAACCGGATCCGACGATTGGACCAAAACAGATTTTAACTTTTTGTATTTTTCCAGAATTTTAATTTTTTGTTAGCAGTAATATTAATTTTATAAAAGAAAATCGAATAAGAATGATCAATGAAGCAACTTTACAAAAAAGAGAGAACATATTTCATAAAAACTAAAGACATGAGCTCAAAGTGACACCATTAAATTAATCTCATCAACTTTAGGGCTACGGTCAAGCATGAGCATCTCTCAGTGTCACATGAATCATAGTATAAAGGCGGAACAACACCAGGAAACTTGAAATTCAACGGAAACACGAAACCTTTTGCTTCCAAACGAGAAAGAACCTACCAAAACAACAATATGAGTGAGAAGACAACAAAAATGAGAAACTTGCAAATCGTTTTATGCATCAATCATGAATGCGACAAACAAAATAACTTCCAATCACAACCCTTTAGAGCAAACACATCCTTGCTCCATAAATGTTGATGTGGGTTCTTAATTTCTTCTGCAATTGCAATTGTATAATGTATGGTTTGATGATCTTCATGATTATTAGAGTTCATGTGTTAGTGAGTTTAAGGGGTGTTTGGCTGTGCATTTTAATCAAACAATCAATATTAAGACTTTGGATGTACTGACGTACACCCAAACACCTTCTAAGTTACAAACAACAAATCTTAATTAATTATAATATGGTTGTACATGAACATAAACTATCAATGGACAATAAATTTTACCTTAGAACAAAAAGCCCCAATTTTCAGCTCTTTGACATGGCGAAGGTTTAATATAAATCCTTTAAACATCTCTTCTTCCACTTCTAAAGGCGTTGTCTCGCCATTCTTATAATCTAAGTTAGCTTCCACTAAAGAAGACACATTTAGCAACAAAAGCTTCCACAACAACAATTCACCTCGGATTGTTAGTGATAGAATATTAGGAGCATTGATTTCAATGATATCGGCTTCAAATTCATCCTCAGGATCCATGTATTCAGAGAACACCAAATTTTTAACACTCTTTGAAGTAATATCAAGCCTCCTATAACCATAACAATATCTCAACACCAAAGTTTCCAATACAGGACTCCCGGATAATATATTTTCAACCAAATCTTCATCTAAATTCCCATATGATATAGTCAAACTCTTAAGATTTTTCCAACTAATCACCCCAATTGGATTAAATATGAAGCCTTCTAATGTTAGCTTAGTAAAACATGAACTGTTGAAAAAGATTTGATCTACCAGAAACTCAGCTTCAAATTCAGCACTCTCTAACGTTAAATTAAGCTCTTCAACGTTACATCTTACAGCATAACTAATCCAATTGTTGACTTGAGATTCATATTGAATATCATAATCGGTATTCACTTCGAATTTCTTGAGCTTTACTTGGAGACGTTGAGTTAGGGTTTTGTCGATGAATGAATAGAAAGCGGATCGATTATGTGTATAATCGTTGAAATAGAGAGAAGGAATCGAAGTCCAAATATGTTTCCATCGTTTGGAGAGTGTACCTGTTCTAATGGCGCCTTTTGTGGAGGGCAAACGAGACAGGATTTCGATAAGTAAGCAATCTGGCAATCCACTGATTCGATCTTCTCCCCTCTTCCACATTTTTATGAAACTTTATCCGTTTAGCGGCAAATTTATGTTTATTTTGCCCTTCTAACGTTGTTTGACTTGTTTCCATGGCCGGCAACAGAGCTATCTGTATTCTGTAACGTCACAATGACATATCGCTGCTTTCAACACAAAAAGCTCAATTAGGAAATGAAGTTTTGCTTTTTCCCCTTTAACTTTGAAACATTTACATCTCAATCCCTATAAAAATAGGAATTCTTTTATATCAAATCAATATATGATGATGGATTTATGTATTTCATTATTCATTTTAATTACTGAAGTATAACCAAGTACTAATGTTTTATTTTACAAAAATTTAAGGCGATCAATCATGTATGTGACACTAACAAAATATTTTGAAGATTTTAAATTGAATTGAATAACTTTAGTCAACTTGGACTTGTTTGACTTCAAGACATCTAAAGTGGTGAAATATGTTATATGTATGTTAAAAGAGAAGACACTCATACTCATGGGATGTCAAAACGGATAAATTTGAGAGACAATAGTGGCACATTTAACTTTGAGGATTTTGTACAAACGAGAGTTAATAAAAATCATGAAGAGATTCTCAACTTATAAACAAAGAAGCACAACTGTCGAGATTGATGTCCAACTTCTCTCAAAGGTCTAGTAAATTTATGTATTTATTTTTTCTAAGAGTTGAATAATGATGTTTAAAATATATTTGAGAAGATGGTCATAGATAAAATAAATAAATAAATAAATTAAAAAAAAAAAAAAAAAAAAAAAAGGAGCAAATATATGAAAATTTAAGACTACTCAATTAAGATGTTATTTTTGGTTAGCTGTTTTTTGTGGGAAAATTTCCGATAAAATCTCAATAGTTTGGATCAGTTTATGGTTTAATCTTAGCTTTTACTTTTTGAACATAAAAATCTTGATTATTTTATATTTTGACAAAATTAACGAAACAATTATTATTTTTTTTTTCAACAAAAAATGACAACTTATCATATAAAATTAAATAATCGAGACTTTTCTATTAAAAAAAATAAATGTTGAGATTAAACCGTAAACTGATCCTACTATATCGGATATTCCCCTTCTTTGTGTATTAGATTTCAAAAATAGTTATATATACACTTTTATCGGATATAGTCATTTCTTCGTTAAGTTCATTGAGTAAAAGAAACAAAACTAAAGACCTAACTCCTACATGCACATACGTAATATCAAGCTATCACAAAATAAATTATACAGATAAAGAATTACCTCGAGCATTATCGTATACCTTTCAAATAACATAATTGATAATTCAATAGAAAATTGACAAGGTCATTCCGATACGTAACGTTCTAGCAGGTCGCTACTATTATTTTAGATTTTGGTTTTACGATTTCATGATATATAGCAACCACACGAGGATGATGTGGATGAAGGCATATGTGTCTTTTGCACTGCACAAACAAGACATTAAGAGTGAGTCCATTTTCCACGCTTTTATTAACTAAAGACTAAACATTTTCTCTCCATTACATCAGTCTAGTATAGGTCCAAACCAATGCACACCCAACATAATACAAAATGATATAAGGCATTATATTCAATACCTATGTTGATCAAGATAATAGCATATGATGCATACCAAGAACCACACTTACCAACAAAAGTTTCCACAACAACAAATCTCGTGTGATTGTTAGTGATAGAACATTAGGAGCATTGATTTCAATAATATCAGCATGATCATCATATTCGTCCTCTAGATCCTCATAACGAGAACACCAAGTTCTTAAGGCTCTTTGAAGTAATATTGAGGCTAGCAATCACCCAACTCGAGAGTTTCCAATAGGTAAAATGACATTGTATCACAACCAACTATTTCATTTTGTTCGATTTGGTCACTAAAGTATTTGTTTTGCGCTATAGATTATTAAACTTACAAGTTACTTATCTATTAAGTCACTTTCATTAGCTTTTAACAGATTTTCTGTTAACCAGTTTTTCTTAATTACACTAATGGTCCGTATGGTTTAGATATTTTTCGTGGTTGGTCCCGCACCAGTAACGTTCATCACCGACACCACCACTATTCGCTTCCAACAGCCACCACCGTTCACCTACTGCAATTGACACCGTTTCGCTTTGTTACCTTTCATATAAAACACCCTTTATCGTCATTCAAAATCACCTAATTTTTTCCAATTGTCTCACTGTGGCATTACTTCACAAATTAAACTTTTCAATTCACATGAGCAACCCAAATGTACGTAAAAAAAAAACTTTAAATTTTAATGATCTTGATTACCGTTTTGATGAATATATTGTTTTAGAAAAGATGTGATATCAGCCGTCTTCATCATCTTTTGGGTCTTACGATGAAAATTTTATCAAACCCAAAATTGGTTTTTTGATTGTTTTTTATATAACAGTGGTAGTAATATAGGCGGCTTTGGGCTTCATCATCGTTTAGGTGGATATCATAGCCTAAAATTGAGTCTTTTGATTACTTTAATAAATATGAAAAAATGTAAGCATAAATATTATTAGGATAATACTTAAGAAGTCATATGTTAAGCTATGAAAGATCTGCTAAGTTTAAAGGACGATACAATAATTTTAATCTTGTGTTCAACTGTGCCAAACATTTGTTTTAGAAAATAAATGGTTTCCGTCTATGTATGGTACGTGATTGAACTACGTAATAAGACTAAGGATTTGCCGTGGAAATACCACAAAGGAAAACAAGAATTCCCGAAGTATGTGAAAAGGTTAGCATGGTTAAGTCTTTGGAGATGTGGCAATCGATCGGATGCTAGAGATGAAATTTTATAGGAATTTTTGAAATGGTACCGAAGGTGAACGGTGGTGGTGTTGGTGATGAACGTTGTCTGTGACAGACCAATCACGAAAGAATTTGAAACGTAGGGACTATTCGTGTAATTTAGAATAACTGGTTAACAGAGATCTATTAAAAATTAACGGAAGTGACTTAATAGACATACAATTTGTAAGTTTAATAACCTATTACGCAAACAAAGAAAAGGACCAAATTGGACAAAATGCAATAGGTGGTTGTGCTACAGTATCATTTGGCATAATATGTTTTCAATCAAATTTTCATCTAATTTCCCTTTGTATATACTCAAACTCTTAAAATTTCTCCAACTGATTGCCTCAATTGGGTTTAATATGCAGCCTTCTAATGTCAGTTCAGCAAAACATGAACTCATGAAAAAATATTGATCTAATGGAAACTCAACTTCGCATTCCAAATTCCATAACCTCAAATTAAGCTTCTCAACGTTGCGTCTTACAGCATAACGATTAACGAATCCAACGTTTGACTTGTGATTCAAATCAAATATCATACTGGTATACACTTCAAATCTTTTGAGCTTCAATTGGTGACACTGAGTAAGGGTTTTGTCGATGAGATCGGGCCACAGGTGATTATCATTGTAACGTTCGAAAATTAGAGTAGGAACCAAAGTCCAAAGATGTTTCCATCGCTTAGAGACTTTACCTGTTGTAATGGCGTCGTTTGTGGTGGGTAAACGAGACATCTAGAAGCAAGCAATATAGCAACACACTAATTCGATCTTCCTCCCCATCCTCAACAATTTCTTTAAACTTTATTGGTTTTGGGGAAATTCTTGGTTTATTTTGTCCATCTTCCACAGTTTCCATGGTGGCAAATTGGCAATAGAGACATCGCTGCTTCCCCGAGGACTCTACTGAAAAAAACTACACAAAACTCTTAGGGATGACAACAGGACGGGTTTGGGACGGGTTTTGGTGATCCCGTCCCCATCCCTGAATATGAAAATTGATCCCATCGCCGACCTAATTCCCAACGGGTACCCGTTTACCAAACACTATCGAGTTTGCGGGTATCCCAACGGGGTAACGGGGATCCCCGTTTAACATTCAAATTAAGAATAATTTTGATACAATGAGAATACAAAACCATTGGACTTAGTGATGCAAGCATAAATTCATATGCAAAATCATTTTGATAGTTTACAAAACCATTAGGAGCTGACGTATTTTTTTATATTTGTTTTGATACATAAGTGGTTACTAGTGGAAAAAAACAATAAAGACACTAGCATTCATAAATCATAATATCACTATTACTCTAAGTACTATGAATAAAAAAATGTCAAAACACTAGTACTACAAATAAACAGAAATCTATCTCAAGAAATTATCTTTAAATCTTTCACAACAAAGAAGAAAACTCAAAGAAATTAATATATATATATATATATATATATATATATATATATATATATATATATATATATATATATATATATATATATATATATATATATATATATATATGAACGGTTTCAGGTAACGGGTTTCAGTTTCGGATAATTAGGATGGGTATTTTATTTACCATCCCCGTAACCAAACCCGCAGAATTTTTTTAAAGCATACCAAACTCGATCTCGACCCCGATTAACCGACCCCAAACCCGACCCTAATATGTTGGTTTTCGGTTTTCACCATCGGGTTCGGTTTCTTTTGCCATCCCTAAAAACTCTAAGGAAGGAGGGAGTCATTCCCTCCCAAACCATTGAACCCGCTGGCACATCACTTTTTCTCTTTTATTTTTCTTCAACTTTCCCAACCCACAACACACAGAAACCCTATCTTTTTGAACTTACTCAACCAATTCAATTAAAAAATACAAAACAATCAGATGTAAAATCTTAATTAGCAATATAGTTACCAACGGTACCACTTCCGTTTCAATGAGTTGGTTAATTGGTTTCACTAACTTACTTCATCATCTCTCTCTCTACTCTCTCTCTCTCTCATTTTCTCTTGTACCATGTGTTTTAAAACTTGTATCTTAGTTGTTTTGTATTTTTTTAATTGAGTGGGTTGAATGGGTTGAGAAATATAAGATTTCCATGTGTTGTGAGTTGGAAAAAATGAAGAGACAAAAATTGATATGACAATGGGTTCAGTAGGTTGGGAGGGAACGACTCCCTCCTCCCTAATTAGGCGTAATAGTGTGGCAGTGGTGAAATGAAAGTTTGCTTTCGCCCCTGAGCTTTGACAAAACTACAGATTGGTCCTTATATAAAAGTAAGTACTGTTTTGATATTCAAATTAACTTTTGATGATTGATTTTTAGCAATGGTTAAAAATGCCCTGGGTGGGAATACGAAAGTTAAAAAAAAGATAAATAAATTATAACTTATCACATCTCTTACACTACGATGATACTTTATAATTAGAAATCGAAAACTTCAATTCTATTGTGACCTTTTTGACTTTAATACATATCTAAGGTGAAGTATCACCTTCCTATGTTAAAGGGAAAGACAATTGATAAATGAGACGAATAACGCATATTTAACTTGGAAGCCTTCAAGGCAAAGATTGAGGAAGAGTTCCTCAACTTACAAATATGAAGCATGGCTTTCGAAAAGAAGGTAGTTCTTTTATCTAGAACGACATACAAAGATAAACATGAATAAACAAACTTAATGTACGAGAAGGCATACAACACAAAAAGCATGACCATATCTTTTTATGTACGTACATTTTAGAATATCTATGATAATTATCCAATAGCACAAAAAGCATGACCATATCTTGTGAAGACTATGTAACAAACATTTGAATTGCTATTTTAAACGGCTGTGATCTAATTTTAGCAAAATGAAATGATTCAAAATGCTCATCATTCTCTCTTATATGTCTACAAGAATATATGAACTCCTACAAACATTGTGACTTCACAAACATGAGACAACATCATACTCCAAAACTCAATGGTATATATAAATAACAACACAACGGCATAGGTACAATCCATAGGTTGGTCAAGACACAAGAAACATTTTTCCACTTTGCTCAAGAGAATGCCATAACTCATACAAGAACAGAGATTACACATACTAACAACAAATAATGCATTAGCTAAATTAGAGAAAGAACATATGAAACATTTAATCGATCAATATCTAAAATAAGAAAGTCATCCACAAACCACATAAGAGGACCCAATGGAACCATGTACACAAAAAACAAACAGAAAAATAGATGAAAATAGTGTAAGCAAAATTGACCAAGTACTTGTCAACCAAAGCTTCCTCGACTCCTGGCCAAACGCAGCTCTAACCGCCCTTCCAAAAGAATACTCAGATCATTTCCCTCTAATTCTTCTTACTGCCTCAGTTAACTTTGGCCTACCCCCCTTTCGTTTCTACAATAGCTGGTTGTCTCACCCGAACTTCAATAACCTCATACGCATCATTGTGGAAAAATTCCTTTACAATGGGCCACCCGAAAAAGTTCTATCAGCTAAGCTAAGAAACATCAAAGATGTGATAATTGAATGGAAAATAAAGGAAGGAGAAAAGGAGAGAGGGCTGATTTCAAATTTTAAAAATTTGATCAATGATGTTGAACTCATTGCAGAATATAGGCAGCTCTCGAGTGTGGAGATTGAACAACATTCAGATTGGAATTGGAAATTATTGGAAATAGAACAATGGAGGAAATTGGATCTTAAGCAGAAGGCGTGTGTCTGTTGGGCAATTGACGGGGACGAAAACTCACGATATTTCCATGGAATTATAAATAGCAACATACCAAACAACAGAATCAATGGGTTATCAATAAACAGAGTGTGGACCACTGAACCGAGGAGGATAAAAAAATGAAGTTCTGTCATTCTTTACTGAGAAATTCTTTGACCGCACTGCGAGTAGACCTATGCTACTTGGAAATTTCACAAAGAAAATATCAGGTCTAGATGCAGAGTTTCTAACTGATCGGTTCACAATGGAAGAGATAAAAGATGCAGTGTTATGGCAATGATCGATCCCCAGCCCAGACGGATTCTCATTCAAATTTATTAAAAGCTTCTAGGACATACTCAAAGAGGATTTTCTTAGAGTGCTTCAAGGATTCCATGAAACTGGGACCATTAATAAAGGATGTAACTCATCCTTCATAACCCTTGTTCCCAAAGTTGGGGATCCTCTAACCTTGTGTGATTACCTCCCAATAAATCTAATTGGGTGTCTCTATAAGGTTGTTGCAAAGGTGTTGGCAAACTGACTAAAAATAGTAATCGGGTCAGTTGCTGGGGATGAACAAACAACATTCATAGCAGGCAGGAATATATTAGATGGGCCTCTAATAATAAATGAAATGGTGGCATCGCTGAAAAAAACAAAGAATGAGGTGCTTCTCTTCAAGGTGGACTTCAATAAAGCGTTTGATTCTTTACGTTGGGACTTCCTCATCTCAACCATGGAGCAATTAGGATTCCTAGAAAAATGGCAACAATGGATTCTAGGTTGTCTAAAATCTTTGTGCACAAACTTTGGAGTTCTCAATGGGGATGGGTGTTCGATAGGGGGACCATTGTAACCATTTTTATTCGTTATCGCAATGGAAGCTTTGAACACCGTCATGAGGAAAGCGGTTGAGATGGGTATTTTTCATGGTATTCGCACTCCAAATGGCGGTCCTACCATTTCACACCCATTATACGCTGACGATGCTTTATTTGTAGGGGAATGGTCCCGTATGAATCTACTCAATTTAGCTCGCATTTTAAGATGTTTTCATTTAGCATCTGGGTTGAGAGTAAACTTCTCAAAAAGTACGGTTTTTGGAATCGGTGTAAGCGCAAATGAGGTGGAAAGTATGGCCCAAATCCTTAATTGCAAAGCAACAGCTCTACCATTCACTTATCTAGGACTACCGGTGCAAATATGACTCTATGTAAAAACTGAAACCAGTGATGGATCGTTTTCAGGCCAAATTGTCGTTATGGAAAGCTAAAACCTTGTCATTCGGGGGACGGGTTAAACTAATCAATTCGGTCCTAAGCAGCTTGCCCACCTTCTACTTCTCATCATTCAAAGCTCCGATCCAAATAATTGAAGATCTAGAAAGGATTAGGCAAAGATTTTTTCGGAGAGGGAGAGCACAAAATTCAAAAATCTGTTGGATTGGGTGGGAAAAGGTCTTAACACCCAAAAGAAATGGGGGGCTGGGAGTTATAAGCCTGAGAGCTTCAAATCTATCCTTATTAGCAAAGTGGTTATGGAAATTCAAAAAACAACCCGATTCCTTGGTGTCTAAATCGATTACATGGGAAGGAAAGGAGTTGGCAACTATTCCCAGCAAAAACAGAAATGTTGGGTATTTGAAAAAACATCACCAAAGTAGTAAATGATCTGGAGTTAGAAAATATTGCAATTTTGGAGTGTATGAAATGTAAGGTTGAAGCTGATCAGGAAGGAATTGGTATCCAGACAGGGTGAAGAAATATAAGCATCAACTTAACTCCAATTATTATGCAAGTCAGGTTGGCGCATAGCAAGAAGGTAATAAATTAGACAGTTGGGTTTCATGTGTTTGGAAGGAACTGGAAAGGTATAGTTATGGCGGCTGTAAGTTTAATTTAGGTGAAGAGATATACATTTCTAGTTTGCATTTGGTTTGGTTTTTATGTTTGTAAGCTCTATTGTCAGCCTCAATTTCCCATTGAGTTCTCCTTGGTTTTAATGCAACAGGGCTGTTCAAAAAAAAAAAAGTTAAATAATTGCTTACCATATGAATTCATTTAATTAGTTTGATTCGGATAGGTTATAAATAAGAAAATCTAAATCAATCATTAGAAATTGCATGGTTCGATGCCAACAGATACAAAAACTTGTATTTGTTTTTACAAATAAATTAAATTTCTTATTATTCTTGTATATTTATTTAGTAATATATATATATATATATATATATATATATATATATATATATATATATATATATATATATATATATATATATATAGACACACACACGAAGAATAATAGGCAATATCGGCGACACTTTTAGCTGCGACATCAAACAAACGCGTAGTGTAGGGAGTCGTGTAGGAGTAAAATAGATTTGTTGTTAAAAAAAAATCAAACAAACGCGTTTTTTGTCGCCGCTAAAAGTGTCCGTCGCCGCAAAAGGCTTATGTTGGTGATCTACGTCATTTCAGCCCTAACCGTCGATTTAGGCGATGATTCAACGAGTAGGAGGACGTAGAAAACCCCGCATTGTTTTCCCTCCGGTTTGTCGCGCTAAAGACGTTGCCGCTATTGCTTGTTCTGGCGATCCACGTCATTTCAACCCCATCCGTCGATTTAAACAATGATCCAACAACGTAAGAAACCCCAAATTATTTTCCCTTCGATGTGTCGCCGCTAAAGAGCGTCGACAATAAAATCTACTTCGTCTTCACTTTCTTCCCTGATCTTGTGTTTCTTCATTCTTCTCTCTACTCACCTCCGTCGATCTCACCGGAATTTCACTGAATTTTTCGATATTTCGTCCCTCTTCCTTTCCATTTTTTCCCATTTTGTTTTCCTCTCTTTTCCCTACTAAATTTGTGTTGGTTGTCGGAATTTTGAGGTCCCCCACTGTTCTCACCAGAGTTTACCACCACCATCACTGTTAATGACGAAATTTTGATAATTTCATATTTTAGATGTGTATTTTGTGTTTGTAGATGTGGATATGTATTTGTATTTGCATTTCTATGTATATGTGTATCTTGAATGTATTTTATGTATGTATACGTGTTTTTCTATGATAATTTATATGTATATGTGTATTTTGTATGTGAATTATGTATGTGTATGTGTTTTTGTATGTATATGCGTATTTTTTATGTGTATTTGTATGTATAAAAATACGTATAAATAGTGGTGACACATTTAGTGGCGACAGATAGTATTAGCAGCGACGCGCCTTTAGCGGCGACTCACTTTTAGCGACGACAAAAGGCAATAGCGGCGGCCAGTGGAGCATTAGCAACGAGCCAATAGCAACGACCCTTTAGCGGCGACATATTTGACCTTTAGCGGTGACGACCGTCGCCGCTAATACTCGAATTTCTTGTATATATATATATATATATATATATATATATATATATATATATATATATATATATATATATATATATATATATATATATATATATATATATATATACACAAAATAAAATTAGAAAGTGAGGGGAAACAAAACCATCCTTCTTTGCGTAACAAACCAGGCCTTATAATCTTCAATCTACATGTTGGTCAGGACTCATGACAAAAGCATATGGGCACATCAAGAATCAATTGTCCATTTTGCTAGGAAAAGAGGCCATAAGACATAGAAGGTTAAATCTAGCACATACAATCAATCAAAATTCAAACATACTTGCTAATTAAGCACGAGCAGATAAACAAAACAAAAGTGAATATGAGCAAAAACAAGCTTCTAAACCACAATAAACACATTGGAGTAACAATTAATAATGCATTAATTAGCTAAATAAATAATGGAGAGAACATATGAAACAGTTAATCGATCAATATTTTGAAGTAAGTATTTTTTTTTCTTTCAGTTGTACAAAGATTTCTAGAAATGACTAGCTAGCCTTTTACCCTCCCAAAAAAACAAAGATACCAGTCCTCATGGCCTTGACTTGAACGACTTTCTCGGCTATTCACCTCCTTAATTATATCCGCTTTCAGACTAATTATCAGTGTACTCCAGTCAATCATGAGTAACACTTCACATTTGATGGAAAAATGAATCCTTCAGCTCCCAAACTAGAGAGAAACTACCAAATCCCAACCGAAGAATACAAGTGAGAAGACAACAAAAATGATATATATTATATATTAGGAGCATTAATGATCAACTGAGAAGACAACAAAAGGATACTTGCAAGTTGCAACAAGTTTATCAAAGGATAATCAATAAACTGCTACTACATCTAATGATCATATATATATGTTTTTTTTTTTAAGAAAGACATACACTGGAAAGCAAAAGAAATTTTACCTTAGAACAGAAACCCTCGATTTTAAGCTCCTTGACATGGCGAAGGTTTAGTATAAGTCCTTTAAGCCTCTCTTCTTCTATTTCTTTAGGCGGTATCCATCGCCCAAAATTTGTATAACATAAGCTAGCTTCGACTACAGAAGCCACATTTACCAACAAAAGCTTCCACAGCCTACCTTTGATTGTTAGTGATAGAATATGTGGAGCGTTGATTTCAATAACGTCATCAATGTCTTTAGCATATTTATCCTTTGCATGCATCTTTCCAGAAAGCACAAAGTTCTTAACACTCTTTGAAGTAATATCAAGCCGCCTATAACCATAGCAATTTTCCAATACCAAAGTTTCCAATAGAGGACTACCAGATAATATGTTTTCAATCAAATCTTCATCTAATTTCCCTTTGGAAATGTTCACACTCCGAATCATTTTCCAACTAATCGCCTCAGTTGGATTCAATATGCAGTCCCTTAATGTAGGATCGGTAAAACTTGAACTGTTGAAAAACTTACAGCCAATAGTTATATTACATATGTATAGATTAAGCTCTGCAACGTTACGTCTTACAGCATAATGAATCCAATTACTGATGTGCGGTTCAAATTGAGCATAATAATCAATAATCATTTCAAATTTCTTGAGCTTCAGCTGGCGACACTGAGTAAGGGTTTTGTCGACCAAGGAAACAAAATCACACCACTGGTGCTTTTCTTCATCATAATAATGGAAAATTAGAGTGGAAACCGAAGTCCAAAGATGTTTCCATCGTGTGGAAAGTGTACCTGTTATAATGGCGTCTTTTGTGGAGGGTAAAAGAGAGAGGATTTCAAGAAGCAAGCAATCTGGCAATCCACTGATTCGATCTTCTTTCTCCTCTTTCCCTCCAACTTTTATAACCCCGTCTCTTATCCCTTCTTCTTTTGTTGTTTCTGATTGACAAAAAGGTTTTGGTTGATCATGTTTATTCTGACGATGAGAACACCTAGCAATAGTTGCAAAAATATGATGATTTCCGATCCAGATAGCACTTAATTTCCTTGCTAACTCAGACTCATCTTCCACCCTCAAGAATCTAACGAAAGCAAACCTCTTTCCCAACTTAGATAACTTACGCGCCAAATAAACATCGTAAACAGTTCCAACTTCTCCACATATCTTCCACAGATCTTGCGATTCCATATTAGGAGGGAAATTAGTGATATACATCGACACTGCTTTCCCTTTGTTTCGTGCCCCATTCTTACCTGTATTTATTTTCCACTCCAAGTCGACTGATGAGTTTACTTTAGGTTTAAAAGAACCGTCCATTCTAACGACGCTATCATGCACAGCAGTAACGTACTGATGATCAGTAAACACCAACGATTAGCATCCTATTCTAAGACAGAAAATAATGATGTGGTGTTTGTGTACCTCCCTCTGAAAGTCCGACTTCAGGTGATATCAAACAAAGTCGACGGCGGCTAGGGTTTGCGTGACGGAGTGCGTTTTACAATATCTTTTTTTATAAAAGTTTATTTATATAATCCATTCGAGCATATCTATTAAGTGATCATGAAACAAAGTTCGTATTTTTCCAGATTTATGCAATAATGTTATATTTTATGCAAAAAGTGCAACACCGTTTTAAAATATAACCAAACTAGGTTTAAACCCGTGGAAATCCACGAGTGATAAATTGAAATATAATTATAGTTTTTAATTTGTAACAAAAAAAAGATATGAAAGTTTAGAAAAAATGAAGAATAGTGATATTAGACAATTATAATATGCGTTTTTCCAGGTGAGTATTCATATAAAATATTTATTTCCTTAATTAAAACAACAAAAGATATATTTTTATTTATTTTTCCAATTTGCATAACTTTTTTTATTGATTTAATAAAGTTGCATACCAAATTGTTAGGCTGTTACGATTTCACCACCTAAAATATGTATATTTGTATTATAATATATTATCTTGTTAGTATTTCATGAATGCAATCAATAACACTGCTTTGAATGCGAAGTTGGATTTAGCTTTGCTATAAGTTTCAATCGATTTTGAAATTGAGTATTGTTCGCATTTGTATGAGTGTAGTCGATGAATCGATAAAGCAAGAACATATGAGTTTTGATTCGCAATTGGATTGATGATTGAGGGATGATTCGTGAAGAAAAATGCGAAGTCAAGGACTGTGAAATTGTTGTTTGCAAGAATTTAAAAACTCGATTGTGGAGTTGTTGATGCTCATTTTGCGAAAGTAAAACAATCGAGTGTTTGCATCTGTGAATCAATTTGAAGTCAATTGGGTTAATATTCGCATATGGGTTCAACATATGAATTTTTGATTTCGCAAGTTTAGAGTTCAAGAACTAAACTGTGTTCGCATCTGGAATGAAAATTTTGTGGTTCGCATTTGATTAATTAGGTTAAAATGTCAAGGTGATTAATGCGAAGGGATGCGAAGGGTGTAAGAATGAAGATGCGAAGTATTTCACAGTAGATATGTAAAATTGGGGAAGAAAACAGAAATTTTCAAATATTGTCCCTGGAGTTTCGCATTTTTGGAAATAAATACTCAACTTCGCAAATGGGGGTCATAAAATGATGAAATTGCAGAATTTTTAAACAGATACACACACATAGACAACCACGCATATATTTAGAAAATTAAACTAAAAGATGATAAATTACAGATTATAGCATTGTTCTTTGAGAATAAATTACTAAAAATGGGATATAGACAATTATAAGACATTGTTCTTGACTTTTGAGTCCAAAGACGTATGATCCGAACTTTAATTGTGAAATCGTCCTTGATTGAGTCAATTTCCTTTATAGGAGTAATATGTTCCATTGTACCTTGCAAGTTAAAAAAAAAAATTTACATTAAATTAGACAATTATAATCAGCACACAGAAAAAAACAATCAAACAGTCAAGAAGAAAGTACATTGGTAGGTTGTTACGATTAAATTAGACAATTATAATATGCGTTTTTCCAGGTGAGTATTCATATAAAATATTTATTTCCTTAATTAAAACAACAAAACATATATTTTTTATTTATTTTTCCAATTTGCATAACTTTTTTTATTGATTTAATAAAGTTGCATACCAAATTGTTAGGCTGTTACGATTTCACCACCTAAAATATGTATATTTGTATTATAATATATTATCTTGTTAGTATTTCATGAATGCAATCAATAACACTGCTTTGAATGCGAAGTTGGATTTAGCTTTGCTATAAGTTTCAATCGATTTTGAAATTGAGTATTGTTCGCATTTGTATGAGTGTAGTCGATGAATCGATAAAGCAAGAACATATGAGTTTTGATTCGCAATTGGATTGATGATTGAGGGATGATTCGTGAAGAAAAATGCGAAGTCAAGGACTGTGAAATTGTTGTTTGCAAGAATTTAAAAACTCGATTGTGGAGTTGTTGATGCTCATTTTGCGAAAGTAAAACAATCGAGTGTTTGCATCTGTGAATCAATTTGAAGTCAATTGGGTTAATATTCGCATATGGGTTCAACATATGAATTTTTGATTTCGCAAGTTTAGAGTTCAAGAACTAAACTGTGTTCGCATCTGGAATGAAAATTTTGTGGTTCGCATTTGATTAATTAGGTTAAAATGCCAAGGTGATTAATGCGAAGGGATGCGAAGGGTGTAAGAATGAAGATGCGAAGTATTTCACAGTAGATATGTAAAATTGGGGAAGAAAACAGAAATTTTCAAATATTGTCCCTGGAGTTTCGCATTTTTGGAAATAAATACTCAACTTCGCAAATGGGGGTCATAAAATGATGAAATTGCAGAATTTTTAAACAGATACACACACATAGACAACCACATATATTTAGAATAAATTATTTTAAAAAAATGTTACAAAAAAACAGAAAAAAAAAACATAATTGTTAGAATTTAATGGGTAAGAAGCAGTTATAAATTCCTAAAAACTTCCTTATACACAACATTTGAAGTTTTGTTTGTAAGTCTACCATCCTTATCTAAAATTAACAATTTCAGTCCTTCTCTACTTTGAACTCTAGATAAGGCAACATACAGTTGTCCATGTGAAAAAACAGGATCCTTGAGATACAGACCAACCTTTGATAACGACTGCCCCTGACTTTTATTAATTGTCATTGCAAAACATACAGCCAATGGAAATTGTCTTCTTTGAAATTTGAAAGGAATTTTTTTTTCAGATGGACTTAAAGACATTCTTGGAATAAATGTTTGCTTTCCGATATTAGTTCCAGATATTATAATTGCCTCAATAACACGTTTGCCAAGAGATTTCACTTGTAGTCTAGTGCCGTTACATAATCCATTTTTTTGATCAATGTTTCTTAGTAACATAACTGGAACACCGACTTTTAGAATTAACTTGTGATTTGGCAAACCTGATACCTTAAGACCATTTAAAATATCAGGGGAGTATAAATTGGGATCAAACTGATCATGAACAAACTCGGATTGGCAAAGAGTATCTGAACTTAAATATTCTACTTCTTCTCCGGGAAACAATGCTAACAAACGATCATTGATTTGTTGGACAACTTCATTTTTTGGAGCTAGTATAGCTCTTTCTTGAAAATAACTCGTACCGTTGAAGTTTTCCAAGATTGAAGGATATACAAACTCAATTAATGAACCTATAGGATCATGTGGATCACTAATGAGAATATCATCCGGAACATCAATAATCATTTCACCATCGTTCAAACCACCAACTTTTCCTTCTCCTATGTCCAAAAGCCAGTTTGCAAAATTTTGTATTTTTCAAATATCAGATGGATCCTTTCCAACGGTTAGTCTCATGTTTTTTGTTAATCTATGGACTTTGCATTGTTGCCATATATATGAAGAGCTTAAAGAAGCATTAACGATATTTTGTCTGCTACCTCCTTGAACAACAGGTAGAATTTGCCTGAAGTCTCCTCCAAAAACAATCGCTTTCCCTCCAAATGGAATATCTGAGTTGGTAGACTTATCAAACTTACATACATCTCTCAAAGCTCGATCTAAAGCTTCAAATGCATGTTTGTGGACCATAGGTGCTTCATCCCAAATAATCAATGAGCTTTTTCTTACTAATCTGCCGAGTTCACTATCAGGCGGTATCTTACAAACAGAATACTCAGTAAGATTCAACGGAATTATAAACCGAGAGTGTGCTATCCTACCTCCAGGCAATAATAAAGATGCAATACCACTTGAAGCAACATTTAAAACTATATCACCATTACATCTAATTGCTGCAGATAACGTCTTCCAAAGAAAGGTTTTGCCTGTTCCACCATATCCATAAACAAAAAACACACCTCCTTTATTATCATTGACTGTAGTCATGATATCAAGAAAAATATTGCGTTGCTCGTTTGTTAATGCATGAAACATACTATCAAACTCTTTCTTTAAAAGCGTTATGTCATACTCCAGCTCCTCCATGATAAGTCGATTTGTTGAAGAAGAAACTGTGTCGGAATCAGGGTAAGGCATTTGTTTATAATGTTTAAGACTCGTGTTGTTACGAAGTAAAATCTGTTCAATCTCGAACAAAGTCAGGTTTTTGATTTGATCCTCATTGAGTGATAAACCTGTAAAAAATGAACAATATGTCAAAAAAATATAATATTAACCAATGTAATGGTAAAAAAAATTATACCGTGCATATTTAAAATATATATAATCCGTTTTTACATATAATGATACGAAATTATAATACCTGGAGACTTTAATCTACGCTGTTGGTTGTAAAGAATACCATCTGACAAATGTTTCCATGTATTTTCCCAAACAAACTCTGGTCTACCCAAACTGTTAGACATTAACATCGTAGCAAATAAGAAACGAAGATAAAAACCAGTTCCTGAATGACTTGCTTCCTTAATTGCATCAACGTATTCTTTGTCATCATCTAAGAGGCCCAAAGCATAGCATGCATCTCGAAAAGTAGGAAATTCTTCACCGTTTACCGTGCGAATTTCTTCAAATGATTTTGGACCTTTCACTTTATTTAAAAGAATCCGTAAGAAGTAGACTTCGCCAAGTTTAGGTGAAACAGAGTGAATCCTTCCTATTGAACGTCCAATTTTCCTTGGCTTCCACAATTTATCATCAGGTTTCCAAACAAACTTTGTAGGAAATTCAACATATGTAAGTTTTCGTGCATCTTTATTAATTTTATTACATTCCATCCAAGATGTGAACATAGAAGCAGCAACTGAAGGTTGTTCAAGAACATCATCAATATCATCGTCTGCGGCATATATGACTTGTTGTTGATCAGGAAGATGAAAAGGTAGTCGCA